CTCTTCCCCATCGCCTGTTGGTCGCCGATGACAGACGGTAGACTACCCCACCCGTGAGATGCCTTACCACCCCCACCCCTAGGGAGTCCCTCTCAAGGAACCCGGTAGCTACACCGCGGAGACGCGGCAATGAGACAGCAGGGAGGGAGCCTCGGAGGGAGGGAGGGAAGGGGAGGGGGGGTAAGGTGTATGATGCAGCAGGTCTAGAGTTCTGCACAGGTTGGTCGACCTCAGTAGTGACAGATGACAGGCAGCAAAGATGAAGTAGAGATGAAGACAGAGAGAGTCTTGTAGGATTAGCAGAGATGAAGTCTTGTAGGATTAGCATAAGATTAGCAGAGATGAAGTCTTGTAGGATTCAATTGGGTTATAATCTGATAGCGGCAGGCAACATGGATTTGGTAAGCAGCTCCATGCTCTCGCGCTCGTGGTAGGTTTCTGGGGCACGTGGAGTGAAGGTTGACGTGGAGCAGGACGAATGAGCAGCCTGTGGGATTGGCGGGGATCGGACTCCTCATGCAGCAGGTGAGCCCACCAAGTAGCTCCGGGGCATCCCATGCTGACAGACTGGCAGGACTTCAAACAAGACGGTGAGAGCGGAGGGCCTCACAGCAAAGTCTTCATCAAGAGCGTCGTTCATGGAGGCTCCTGCCATCGTGATGGTGTTGTTCAGGCGCGTGCTGGTGCTGGTGGTGGGGTGATTGACGGGCTGAGACAGGAAGGCGACAAGATCCTGCAAGTCAACGGGGAGAACGTGGTTGGGTACTCGGTCGCTGACATCAGAGAGCGGATCGTTGGACCGATTGGCTCATACGTGCGTGTGGTGTTTGAGAAGGCAAGCAGCGGAGAAACCTTCGAGGTGAGGCCCTTGTGAGCATGCGCACGCGGGTGGCTGATGCAGCAGCAGAGAACTCTGATGCGAGGCAACCCTCAGTCGTTCGAGCAGCCGAAGGCATCCAACGACATCAACTCTAGTCAGGTGCAGCCCCTCCCGTGACCCGCCTAGTCAGCCTGGTGACCTTGAGGCTCTTCAGATGCTGTCGCGTTCGATGGACAACCGTCTGCTGAGGTGCAACCCGATCGAACTGACTGGCGCGCTTGAAGCAGCTCCTGACGGCTCCTCCCTCTTCCTCCAGGCAAAGTCTACCCGGCCGATCCACCCTGCTGCCTCCTTCCGTATCCGCCAACGACACCGAGTCAGCCCGCCTGAAGAGCAAGGCACTGAACAGATGCCCCCTCGCCTGCTCAGACTCTGACTGAAGGCTCACAGATCATCGAGCTCGAGTCTCAGCTGGTCTCGACGACGGACGAGCTGTGAGTGCCTGCGGTGGGTCTCATCGTCCCTCACATGCTCGGGCTGCAGGCAGCGCACCAAGGCTCTGCTAGAGAACGACAGGTTCACCAACGTGAGGACTGCGCGAGAGATCGACGCCATCCAACGCAAGAACAAGGAGCAGGAACAGCCCAGCTCGCCCTCTGCTGCCTCTTGACCGACATGGCAGGTGCTGGAGTTGCAGAGCTTGCTCGGAAAAAGCGAGCAGAATCGGAGGGAGTTAGAGTCGCAGTTGTCCAACAGCAAGGCGAGAGAAGAAGAATTCCATCTCGCGTTCAACCGTGCCAAGGAGGAGACGGAGGCGAGGGAGAACTACTTTGCGGAGCTGAAGAGGCACTACGACGAGTCCAGGTCGCAGCTCGAACGTGAAATCTCTGCGTTGCGCGATGCCAAGACCGACACTGAGAGGTGAGAGGAGCGAAGGTGCACGTGACTCCCTGACCTGCTTGCAGGGCTCGAGCGATGGCAGAAGAGAAAGCCGGGAAGATGCAAGCTGAGCTCAACACGATGAAGCAGAAGGAGAAGGATCGTAGAGAGAAGGAAGAGACTGTCAGGCAGATGCTGCATGAGAGTGAGATGAAGCTCTTGGAGGCAAGGAAGTTGGAGGAACAGGTTCTACCCTCCCCTTCTTCTTTCCTGTCTCACCAGTGTGCAGGTGCGAGCCCAATCGAACAATCTCTACCTCGCCATCACCCAGTGGCACAAGGACTACTTCGTGAACCGAGCGAACCAGGACCTTGAGCTCGAGCAGTACTTCCATGCGTGAAGGAGTGTCAGTGTCAGTGTCAGTGTCAGTGTCAGTGTCAGTGTCAGTGTCAGTGTCAGTGTCAGTGTCAGTGTCAGTGTCAGTGTCAGTGTCAGTGTCAGTGTCAGTGTCAGTGTCAGTGTCAGTGTCAGTGTCAGTGTCAGTGTCAGTGTCAGTGTCAGTGTCAGTGTCAGTGTCAGTGTCAGTGTCAGGACCTCCTAGAGGATTGAGGTGGAGCAGCGTTGGGTAGGGTTACCCCATGCGCTTTAATGGAGATATCAGAAACAAGCTCTTGACTCGCGTCTCGTCGATGTTACTGTCACACGGCTCCTCAGCCCCTAGTCCAACCCTGTGTCCATCGACTCTCCTTGCGGCTCCTTCGCCTCCGCCGGCTGCTCGTCCTTGGGGGTTTCTGAACCTGAACAGTGTCAGCCGCCCCAACATGGAGGGGAGGAGAGGCTTCACCGGCAGCCTCAGGCTTGGGCGAGTCACTCGTCTCCTCCTTCTTCTCCTCCGCCTGCTTCCCGTCACTCGCATGGACGGCAGCTGCTGGGCTCACCTTGGGCTTGGGCGGGGCGGGCTTGGGCTTGTTCATGATGGGCTTGCAAGTGCTGACGATCATCTCCCTGCGAGGGCGTGAGGGCGCGAAAAGGCTGCACGTGCAGACCTCTTGGCGTTGATGTCCCTGCATAGCACCACCGGCTGCTCCGTCTTGGGCTTCACTGCCTGCTGGGCCTGCATGCTTTCCATCCAAGCCGCAGCTTCGTCGACCGTCGACTTAACCTGAAAGCACGACCGTCCCATCAGCACGTGCCGATCATGCAAGGGCAGGAGGAGAGGAGAGGAGAGGAGAGGAGAGGAGGGGGAGGAACAGGAGAGAAGTGGGAAGGGACAGCAGGGAACCTTGGAACGGTCGTCGACGCTGATGTGCTCGTATGCTGGGTCCTGAGTGGCAGCGAGGTTTGCGTACTCGTCGATGACCTGAATGCGGGTCACGTGAAATGACATGGCTAAGGGCTGACGCTTGACCTTCTTGAGCTCAGAGAAGGCGAGGCCGCGCTCGTCGTCCTCACGGTAGCGAAGATCTTGACTAGAGTCAGACTTGACATGGCCGGGCGTTGCCTGGCTGACCTGCTGGGTCTCCGAACTTCTTCAGCTCGTCAAGTTTCGCAACGAAGGTTGACTTGTTCGCGGCCTTCACCGTAAGTCAGCTCAAGTCGCCTCGGACTCGGTCCTGGTCACCTCAGCCTCCTCATCGTACAGCCAGTTCTCCATCGACTCGAGGAGAGGCAGGAAGGCCTGCTTGTCCGCCTGACCCTCCTCGTCAGACATGAAGGTGAGACTGCAACCGACTTGCCTCGCTCATGAATTCACTCAAATTGCCTCCCGACACTCTGGCATCAAAGTCACACCATCATCAGCCCCAGGCCAGGAGCTCACCGGTCGCGCATCTGGTAGATGTAAGCTTCGAGGTCGTTCTTAGCCTCGTGGAGAGCCTTGATCTGCGATTGAAGTCACAGCAGCGACTTGTCCCTCCCTTCCTCCCTTCCTCCCTTCCTCCCTGCCTTACCAGACGATCCTGAGTTGCCATCTCGAACTCTTCGTTCTTGAACTGGTCGATGAGCTCTCTTGACAGCTGGAACGCTGCTCGACCGCGTCACTGTCTCGACACGACTCATCTCTGACCTCACCTGCTTTGTTGACCACAGGGAGGTTATGCTTCCTCAGCTTCTTCTTCTTTGGCTCAGATTCGGCAGGAGCTGCCTGTTCACAGCACTTGTCATGACACCTCCATTGACCTCGCTCCCTCTCACCGGCTTCTCCTGCTCAGCGATGTTCTGGCCGCTTGGCTCAGAAGCCGGAGTGTCGTCACTGCAAACGTTTCACATTCCGGACAACAGATGCAGTCAAACGCGACCTGGGAGCCTCCGCTGGTTTCGCGTCAGGCATAGGAGTGTCGGCAGCTGCGTTGCATCAGCATGCGTCAGCGACCAGGGAAGAGAAAGATGAGCAAGTAGTTGTGTACATACCAGCTTGCGCAGGCTTCTCTTCCTCCTCCGCGTCAACCTCTTCCACCGCCTGTTCTCAGCGTCAGCAAGACGCTTCCTTCCTCAGCAACGCTAACCTGCGCTGACTCCACCGCAAGCACTCCATTCATGTCGAGCCTGACCTTGACCTTGACCTTGACAAGCGTCAGCCATGACGGCGGGAGATGCCAACCAGAACCTTTGATGGCCCTCCATCGGCAGCTGCTGGGATGTTGGTGATGGAGAAGTTGCCAATGATCGGGGAGGATCCTCGCGTCAAGGCCTGCGAGCCTCTGGTCACCCGACAATCGCTGAAAAGACTGAGGAGGTTACAGATTGGTCCGCATACGAAGCTGAAATGTCGAAGGCGTTGGATCTCATGAAAGTGAGCATCTGATAGCTTGTCAGGGTTGCCATGGATGCCAACACGAGCAAACACCTTAGAAGACGGGAGGACGTTGTGTTCCGAGAAGACAACGTTGCCCTTCGCAGAGCCGCCTCCTTCAACCTGCAACAACATCACCACGTTGATTCGTGTGCAGTGCAAGGAAGAACCTCCATCGCCTGATCTCCTCCGGTCGAGCTCGTCCAGCTCAAGGAGATCGCGTACGGAGTGCTGTCCAACACCTAGCACGAGTTTCGATCACCTCAACTCCCCAAGCTTCACTTGCGGCACCTGAAACTCACGGACGCGAAAGTTGGGGGAGATCATGGCGCCCATCAATGCGCAGCCCTTAGAAACAGCCTGCACAAGTGGGAATGAGGGCACAGCAAGGAAGGAGGGTGGGGGTGGGGGGCAGGGCGGGGGAGAGAGGTGGCGGAACCTCCTCTGAGTTCATCGTCCTCTGGGGCTCTTTGCCGATGAAGTCTTTGATGGCGTTGACGATGAGCGGCGAGCGAGTGGCGGAACCCACGACCTGAGAGCAGCGTCAGAGGCAGCCGGAGCAACTCGCTATTCATACCTCAACGCTGTCAATCTGATCGAAGGTGAGCTGTGTGGGAAGCTGTCAGTGAACAAGCTGTGAACAGCATTCCTCGCTTCTTCTCTCCTCTCTCTGACGCCCATCTCTCTCTCCTGAGTCCCCGCACCTTGGAGTCGGAGATGACCTTCTTGATCGATTCGAGAGATTTCTCGACCAGACCTAGAGACAACATCACATCCCGCACCCGCGGGCTCGAGCCCAAGGTCAGAGGCACCTTTCACGAGAGAAGCGAAGATGTCGGTATCCAACATGCTCGAGAAGTCGTGGTCTTCCTGCAATCATTCACTTCAGTTCGATAAATCTCCATGTCCCTCCAGCTCGGCTCTTACCTGCAGGCACTCGACGTTGATCGGCAGCTTCCCGTACGCAGCGTAACCACTGAGCTGCTGCTTGACTTTGTCGATCGCTGCCATCATTCTCAGGACTGCCTTGGGAGAGTCCAGCAGGTTCAATTTCTTGGAGGCCTTCCACTCAGCTGCGAAATGCTCCAGCACAGCCCAATCGAAGTCACGGCCGCCAAGGTTGCGGTCGAAGGCGGACGCCAGCACAGTCATCTTGCTCTTGGTGAAGGCGACGATGCAGGCCTGGGTGGAGCTGTGGCCCATGTCGAAGAAGAGGACGTTCTTGGGAGGCGCGGAGTCGTCAGGCAGCTCCAGAGACTTGGGCAGACCCCAGCAGAGAGCAGCTGCAGCAGTCTCGTTCATGAGGCGAAGGACATTCAACCCAGCGATGGTGGCTGCGTCCAGGACAGCTCTTCGCTCAGCATCAGTGAACCAGCATGGCACTGAGATCACGCAGTCGGGGGAAGGGCCCTTGTTGTGACCCTCAGCCGTGTGCATGAGGTTGACGAAGAGCATGGCGAGCAGCTGCTCGGGGGTGTACGCCTTCATCTCGCACTCTCCTCCGTCCTTCTCGTACTGGAGGTGGACAAGAATCGAGCCGTCGTTGCCCTCAGAGACCTTGAAGGGGAACTTGGCAATGTCCGCCTGCAAGTCAGCATCTACCCAGCGCCTCCCGATCAATCGCTTCAGCTCCGAGGCAGTGTTCTTGATGTTGGAATTGATCTTGGCAACTGCTGCCTGGCCCAAGCTTCGTTCCTTTCCTCCAAGGCCAACCATGCAAGGAGTCTTTCTGGAGCTTGCCTCGTTGTCGATGACATCGATGCCTCCCTTCCTTGCAATCGCAATCACACAGTTTTGGTTACCAAAGTCGAGACCCCATGGGAATCCCATCCTGCCATGAAGGAGTAAGAAAACGTGAAGCAGCATTAGGAAGGATGAGAATGAAAGCAAGCGAGCTTTGTTTCACGATTCTTTCTCCTCGACATCTATGTTCTGTTGGCTAGACATGCAACCTTGCAGCCTCGTCGATTCTTGTCACGATCAACCAGCGGGTACTCAAATTGCAGCGACACGAACCATCAGTCACCTCGACTGCAGCACACACACGCATCCCATCTCTAGCTGAGACTGAAGCATTCTCAGGTTACACTTGCTTTCTAGACGCTAAAGCTCGAGTCCTCTCAGTTGGTTCCCACATCGCTCTTCAAACCCTCGAGCCCTCGCATCGTTGACTCTAACAACATGGATGTTGCCCTCGCCTCTAGCTCCTGCTAGTGTTGTGATCGGCTGCAGTGACACCGTCTTCTGATCTAGTTCTTCTCTTCTCTTCTCTTCTCTCTCCTCCATCTTTCTCCTCCCCTCCTCCCCATCTTTCTTGAACGCGGCATAAGCATGCAGGTCTTCCCGTGCGAACTATGAACCCCTTTCATGGTGGGTACCCCACAACTTGTTTTACCACCCTTCCATTTCTTTTATGACCCCTTATTTATCCTCAAATTACCCACCCTTTACAGTCTTTAAATTAACTATACCCCTACATTTTGTTCTTCCACCCCTCTTTTTTGTGGTACCACCCCTGCTGTTTCCCATGACTTGCTTGATTCCGAGACCCCACCACCTGGAACGCTCCACGTCGAGTACCCCCACTTCTTAGGTCTTAAAGAGGGGTACATGGGGGGTACTCCTCACCCCACGGGTCTGATCGAAAATCTCTCGTTGACCTCGACGCCTTCCAGAAGAGGTTACCACCCCTACCCTCTTTTTGACTCATGTTAACACTATTTCAGGGGTGGGTAGTATTTGCTCGAACTTTCCTCAGGTTCGAGAAGGTCTGGGTGGGTACGTCGAGGGGTGGGTAGGTATCTTATGTGTCAGGCTATTTAAGGGGGGTAGGGTAGTCTGTACTCTGATGAGGGTAGCGGTACCGGGCCAGGATGGAGGTGTAGCCGATGTCAAGAACTTAAAAGGGTGGGTGCTGATGTCCAGGGGGTAGGGGTGGTAATGCGGTAGTATGTGTTTTAGCAAGGTGATATAGAACGAAGGGGGTAGGGGTTACTGATAACCCCCTTTCGACATTTGATAAGTAGGGGTAGTCAATGTAGAAATGCCCATAGGAAGGGGTCGATTACGCCGCCGGGCGCTGCCCGGTCATCATCGGCTTTTGGTTGGCGGCCCGGCGGCGTCATGCACTGAGATGATAATGCGACTCATAACCTTCGAAGTTCCCTCTTGTTCCCTTCTCCTCTTAGCAGGTTTCTTACCATGCTCGAAACTTGTTCTCATAATTTCAAAATTTACCATAAAATTTAATTGACAAAGACAACGTTTCAGAGCAAAAAGCGCGGGAAATCTAGTGCTACGCATGCAGAAGAGCGATGGAGAACGAGAAGAGCGGGAGAGGGAGAGGGAGAGGGAGAGGGAGAGGGAGAGAGAGGAGGGAGAGAGAGGGGAAGAGAAGGGTGGGGGAGGTTCAGGGAAAGAGGCAGGGAAGGCAAGAGGGAGAGGGAGAGAGGTGTGGGATAGGGGGAGAGGCAGGGTGGGGGAGGAGGGGGAGGGAGAGAGAGTGAGGGAGGAGGGGGAGAGGGATGCAAAGGGAAGAGAGGGAGGGAGGGAGGGAGGGTGGGAGGGAGGGAGGGAGGGAGTGATTCCATGCTTCAGTTTTTTGTTCAATGAGGATATCTTACATGAATGATACCTATAAAAGAGTAGCAGCAACACCAGTTGATCAGCTTGTGATGTCTTGTAACCGTTTGCATGTCGTTTCATCGCTGATCGTCTTGTGCAGTTTGTGGAAGGGAGAGATCTGCGTCACATCCTAGCGATTGAGTCAAGGTGGTGCCTTGAGCATGCAAATCTACGAAGTCAAGTGCGGGAACAAAGATGGAGGATTCATGGGGAAGCTTGAGTTCAAGGATGATGGAGCTTACTGGGAGGCAAGCAGTTACTCCTGAATCGCTCTTGGTCACTGGTGGTGTGGCAGGCAAACGAGATGTCGTATACCGTTAAGATCATGAAAGCCGATGTTGAGCGAGCAGAATGGTGTGCTCATACTTGGCTCGTGCTGCCAGAATAGTAAGAGTTATATTTCAAGGTGCCGAACGGGAAAGACTGGTCAGCTGAGATTGATCCAATCGAATGGATCAGTGACAAGGTTTGCCTTGATCGACCGTTCAATCACGGACATGCTCATTTAAGACAGATTCGAGGGATTCGAGCCCAGCGAATCAAAGAACTTGAAGGTGAAGGCAGATGTGTTTCGATTCTGGTGAATCTGTTGCCAGGAAACCTGTTCCAAGCTTTTCAAAGTTGAACTCAAGACAGTCAAAGTATGCCTGCCAGCCACTCGACAGAATCCAGTCTGACATGAAGTTCTAGGTTGATGTACAAGGGAAAAACTTTGGAAAATTGAAGTTGGAAGGGGAAGAACTGAATTTCCACGTAGAATTATTTTTCTATGCGGTTGCATTTCTCGTAAACTCAAGTTCCAGATCGATGGAAAGAAAGCTTTCGATATCTCGTTGTCGGACTTGTCCAACTCTCAGGTGAAATGGCTTACTGTCTGTCATGCTGTCGACTGAAGACGATCCAGGTCATTCCGCAAAAAGATGAAATGGTTCTTGAGTTCAGACAAACGGAGGGCCTGAGCAAGGTAAATGCGAGAAATCAAAAACCTTTACACCGGTTGAACTCATGTCAATCGTGTTTCAGAGACATGAAAGTCTTATCGAAATGAGGTTCTACGTGCCCCCAACAGAGGGTATGGACGAAGACGATGCTGATGTATTCGCTCCGCACACAACTAGGATGATTCTCTGATCCGTGTTCAATTGCAGAGCAACAAGAAGGGAGTCGAAATCTTTCATGATAGAATCAAAGAATACGTCTCCAAGGAATCCGGGGGCGAAAAGATCAGTATTTTCACACAGGTCAGGTGTCGCTCACCCAAGACCACTTTCGACGTTTCTTTGTACTTGAACATCTTCAAGCTCCATGGGTCTTCCTATGACTTCAGCGTCAAGTGAGTTGAACGAGCTCCCAAAGGCAATCAGACCTCAAAGTATGGCAGGTACAAGCACGTCACAAAGTTGTGCAAGGTCCCGTCTGTGCAAGGAGCTCGGGTATATGTCGTTGATTCCCGATCGTCACATGAAACGTGTTGTTTGCTCAGGGAACGCTCCTCATCTTGTCGCTGGACCCTCCACTCAGAAAGGGACAGGTGAGTTGATGGCAGTGAAGCTTCGCAGTGACTTTGGCTCAAGACGATGTATCATCATGTGGTCCTTCATTTTCCAGAAAAGGATGAGGATGACAAGGTCCCTTGACTGCCAGACTGTCTCATGAATGAGCTTCCGTCTAGGTTCCTGTAACTCTTCCCAAGAACTTCGACTGGAAGGACATTCCGGGCAAGGTTGTAAGATGGAGTATCCTTCGAGAAAACCTCAACGCGGAAACAGGTGAAGGATGCGATTCAGCCGACGATGACTGGCAAGAGCGTCGACATCCTTGGCAGTCTCTTTCAGTTCTTGGCGTTGGCGTCCGAATCTAAGTTGAAGGTCGCCGGTCATTCCTTGAGTGTTTGTTGGATTCACTTCATCACTTCACAGCTCTACGAAAAATCTCAATTCCAATCAAATCGAGACGAAGGTGGACATTGCTGGAATCATTCTATCCTCAAGTTGACACTTTCACTACAGAAAGTTTTGCAGTGTCTGCCTGTATTGGTGCATCCAAAGGATATCTCTACTTTCTGGACAAGTGTTTTGTCTTCCTTGAATCGGTAGTTTCAATTTCCTGTTGGCTTGTTCAGGCAAGGTTTGACCCGTGCTGTTTCTGTTTTGCTCAGCCACCTCAAGTCATCATGTACGAGCAAGTTGAAACAATCGTGTTCGACAGAAAGGATCAGTTCACACAGGTTTGTATCCTATGCAAATCTGATTCCTTGCCTCGTCTGATGGGAGGGTCTGCGAATAGTCAACGACTTTCGATTTCAAGATCAAGCTAGACAATGGGAAGAGCCAGGTACGAAAGAAAATTTCAAGGAGTTTGTGTCTCATTGGAGATTGCAGGACTTCAACAACATTAACAAGTCCGAGTTGAAGAACATTCGGGGATGGTGAGTGCTCTCTGAAGGATTGGAAAGTCAGAGGTCAGAAGCCTCTGACTCGCTGGCCCGCCAGGTTCAGGAGTGTGTGCGAGCACATGTTCGACGGCAAGAAGATGAGGATCGAAGATGATGACTCAGACGAAGAGGAAGAACTTAAGGTACCCGCGACTCTGATGAGCCTCCGGTCGTGACAGCGCGAGAAGGATGCGGGGAATGATGACGACGACAAGCACATCAAGAACCGTCTGGCGGCGGAAGCTGGTGCCATCAGTCGGTCGGCGGTCATAGAGGATGATGTTGTCGTGTGCAGGTCAAGATGACGAGGATGACGAATCCTCCTCCGAGGATGAAGACTTCGAGGGCAAGTCTGAGTCCAGCAGGTGAAGTCGCTAAGGGTCGTTTCGAGGTTTTGAAGCTTGTATGTCAGTGAGGAGAGCAGCGCGGATGAGGAGGGATCGAGGTGCGGATGAGCAACTCACAGCCTCGTCCCTGCATGTACTCACTCATGAGCAGCGAGGGAGAGAGCGACGAGGACACGAAGAAGAAGAGCAAGAAGGTGAAGGGCAGCAGCTGGTCGTTGCCTTCCGCCTCACCTTGCCCAGGCGCCCAAGTCGAAGGAGGTGAAGGCGAAGAAATCCAAGAAGGAGGAGAAGGAGGAGGTCTGCAAACCGCTGCCCCTGGCTGTGCTGATGTTTGAGGACCAGACTTCAACCAAGCGGCAAAAGAAAGATCCGAATGCGCCCAAGAGGCCGAAATCTGCCTGGCTTCTCTTCTGTGATGCTAAGCGAGAGGACGTGGGTTGAGTCGCTCCATCGGCTGGTGTGCTGAGATGTTTCGACTACAGATCGTCAAAGAGAACCCTGATATCAAGTTCACTGAGGTCAACGGAAAGATCTCTGAGATCTGGAAGAACTTGTCGTCTGATGAGAAGAAGCCCTTCGAGGTCCTGGCGTCGACCCGCGTCTCCTGCTGACGTTTCTCACTGGACCCCAGGAGGAGGCCGCGAAACTTGCGTCCAAGTACAAGGAGGACAAGGCCAAGTACGACAAGGAGAACCCCAGCAGCAGCGGTGGGGCCGGCAAGAAGCGAAAGGGGGAGGACGAGAAGGAGGTAGCGGCTTCGCCCTGCATGTCAAAGTGCTTGACTGCCATGACAGGGGAAGGCCAAGAAGGCCAAGAAGGACCCCAATGCTCCCAAGAGAGGGCAAAACGCGTACATGCTGTGGTCGCAAGAAGCTCGTGAGAAGATGAGGAAGGTGAAGAGAGTCGCTGCTGCTCCCCGAGCTCACGACGCGCAGGCCAACCCCGACTTGCCCATGAAGGCGGTGATGCAGCAGCTGGGAGAAAAGTGGAAGGAGATCGTATGGCAAGGCTCGTAGCCGTCGTAGCTCTAACGATGTTCCAAGGATGCCGAGGAGAAGAAGGAGTGGGAGGAGAAGGCTAGAGAGGTCCGACGTGCGCGCGCCTTGGTCGACGTAACGTGAGATGGCAGGACAAGGAACGGTTCAAACGGGAGACGGAGGAGTACAAGAAGAAAGGTCCCTCGCTCGAAGAGTTCGAGAAGGCGGGAGAGGAAGACTCAGGTACCACAGCAGACACTCTGACGCTCCTCCTCACGCCTTGCAGGTGAATCGGAGGACTCTGATTGAAACTTCATCGGCCGCACTTGAACCTCCATGCTCTATGTGTAAATGTTTCTACGAGAGCGACAGACAGACACGCCGATGCTTCACTGTCATTGCGATAACAAACTTGTGTCCTGTCACTCTAGTCGTCTTCGACGTCGTTGATGTCGTAGGGACCAAGCTTCGAATCCTGCGCCTCGTTTCATCATGCTGGACTCTCAGGGTGAGCCACTCACTTCCCCGCTTCCCGTCACAGTCTTCTTCATCGCAAACTCTGATGGCTGCACGTTGCCCTGCCGCATCATGTCAGTCTCTTCTTAGCCGCAGCAGGGGCCTGACCGCCTCGATCATCTTCTCGACAGGAGCGTCGAAGTCAGGATGCCTCCTGCGCTCTCGTAAGCGCTATCAGGTCGAGCGAGAGAAAACGACGAGGGCAGCAATGGGGGGAGCGTTGGGAGTCAAACCTTCGGAAGTTGTCCATGGGCTGCACGTCAGGAGGCTGCTCGTTCACGTGGATGTTGCCAGCCTCGGCCTGGCGAGCGCATGAGCCAGGAGGAGCTGAGAGGGAGAGAAGAGAGACAGGGGGAGAGGAAGAAGGGGAAGGGGACGGGGAAGGGGAGGGGGCGGGGGCGGGCTCACAATCTTCTCGAGGGGAGCATCGAAGAACGCGGGCTCAAACACCGGGCTGTCAATATCGCCTGCAGGACCGTCAGGTCGCTCACAAGTGGGCTCGGTGACTTTCACCTCCTACAGCAGCTGCGACTCCCTTTCCCTTGACGTTTCCTGCACGAGCGTCAGCAACACACACATGCTGGGCTTGTCCAGCTCACCGGCCTCGAGCATCTTCTCGGGAGGAGAGTCGAAGTCAGGATGGTTCCTTCCCGCACAGTTAGCCATGCAGCGGGCGAACAGCATCGCAGTTTACCTGCGGAAGTTGTCCATGGGCTTGACGTCGGGAGGAGGCTCGTTGACGTGGAGCTTGCCGGCTGAGGCGAGCCTCTCCTCGGGAGCATCGAAGTAAGGATGGTGCCTCTCCTCTCCCTCGGGGTTCACGTCAAACTGCCACGAGCATCAGGCAAGTCACTTGTATCCTCCGCTCTCCCACCACTTCCTTCCCCATGCGGAGCTGAAGCCTCTTGCTCGAAGAGCAGCATGGTGCGGGCGCAGTGTTGCGAAGCCTCAACGACGTGGAGGACAGGAAGGCAGTTGATGTCTACTCCACTCACCCGTCAGCAACTCTCAGCTCTGCTTCCTCCGCTTCACCTGGGCGAAGCAAGAGACAGCGGCAAGCAGCAATGCACAGCGCATTCTCGTCGTCTGGAATGCAAACGTGCATTCAGTCTCAGCCGCAAGCGATGCAATCATAGTTCAACACCCATGCATGAGCGCCCCTTAACCACTAAACCTTAAACCACGACTGTCTATGCCTGCCTGCCTGCCTGCCTGCCTGCCTGCCTGCCTGCCTGCCTGCCTTCCGAACTAGCGTATTGCCAGTCGCAAAGCTTTCCGTCACAAAGATGCTACATGTAAGGATTCATCCCTCAGGCTAGGATATACATGTTCACTCTTGATCTTGTTTCATCATTATCTTCTGCATTTCTCTTGTATGAACCTCTCTGTTCCAATCTCCTTCCTGATGCCTTTTCCATTCTCTTTGTTCCATTTCAACCCCTGTCTCCATTTCCATCTCCCTTCTTCATGGTCCTCGCCCTTCATCCTCCATCCACCATCCTTGGTCGCTGATACTTCATCGTCATCAATCGCCATGTTCCATGTCAGCGCATCTTTTCCTCTTCTCCTTCTCTGTCATCGCCATCTTCGCTTCCGCACCCACGCAGCTGCTTCCTCTCTCATGGCCACCCTGCAAGCCCCCTGCGTGTTATTAACCTATATATCTTCTAATAAAGTATCACTGATGGATCCCATATAACAGATATCTGTTAAAATAACAAAGAATTAAATTTTTGGATTATTGGCTCAAGTCTTTATTTTATTTAAGTAAGATCAAGGTTATAAACTGCATCCTTGATTTCTTCGTTGTCCTTTAGGAAACATATCCCTTAATAAGTCATATAATGTCTAGGCAATTGCTCTGATTAGACTATTAGCAACCTATAAAGTTATTTATTAGTCTAATAGACGATATTTCCATCGCCTACGTTCGCCTGGCAGCTTCAATCCTTGGACCTCTAAGAATATTCGACCAACTAAATATGTGTTTCAAATTATTTGTTGTAATTTCAAATTTAGCATGTACATTTCTGGATTCCTGTTTCGTACATCTGGCCTGCCAACGATGTGATGCGACCCTTGCTGTGTTTTCAATATATATTTTTGTCTCAATGGAAAAGTTCAAATTTCAAAAAACATTTTCAATAGTACCAACATCGTTTTGGAAAGGGCTGACCTCTGGGAAATTTCGTTGCAACACTTGGAATATGTTCTCTATAATTTCAAATATACAGGACAAAATGAAATTGACGAAACAAGTCACAAGAACTAACCCACTCTGACCCGGCATCACTTGAATCGCGTTGTAGTACAAAAACTGAGGCCGCCGGGCCCGGCCCCGGCTCGGAGTGGCGCCGCGGCGCGGGCGGCCCGGCCCGGACTCCGGCGGGCCGGGCCCGGGGGGCCGGCAGCCGCTGAGCGGCCCGCAGCAGCCTGCCACTGCCCGGCCGGCCAGTGCCACGGTCACCGGACGGACTCCCGGCCGCGCGGTGGTACGGTGCCTGTTGCCAGTGGCGGGGGCCCAGAGCCTGGCTGTTCCCGAATCCCGGTCAGCCTTACGCGGCGCGGCTGCTATCAAACCTATCAGGATCAGTGTGGATTTTGCTTCTTATCATATTCTTGAATCATCTCCAGGCTCTCTCCTCTGTACCGGGCCCCCGGCGATCCTGTTCCCCTTTGGAATCTGTGCCACGACTGTGTGAGACGCCTCTGTGCCGGGCCAGTCCAGGAGTCGCTTTCAGTGAGTCTCAGTGTGTGTGAGAAGTGAGAACCGCTTCCCTTTTAGTAGACTGAGAAGTCCAATGTAAGTTCCGAAGTTCTTGTTGAACTGCGCTGACTCAGTGAAGGTTCAACTTGAGAAACTTGTAGGTGTGACTCTTGTGTGTGTTTGTGTCTTAGTTCGGGTGTGCTTGAGGCGAATACTGTCTTGAAGTTGCAATAAACTCTACTAGAAGTGCATCCTTGTCATCCGCTTTGCTCGGTCTCCCGTTTTCAAATCCATCGGCCCATTTCAAAATTATACTCTACTGTCGTGCATTGGAACATGTACCGACATGAGCCTGCAACAATCTTGATATTTGGACTCAACCTCTCTCGCTCTTCTCTCCTGTTCGGTCTCCTGCTTCCTCATCGTATTCCTCGTTTCCAAGCCGAATCCCATCATGTTAGCAACACTCTTGTACAGAAGGTCCTGCTTGACGGTTTCCTTGTACTCCTCGAGCATCCACGAGCCTACTCTCATTTCCTCGATCTTTTCTATCATTTCCTGCTCAGAATACTCGTCCAAGGACAGAAGGTCCTTTTAGCTGACCTCTCCCCATCCTTCAAGGAAGTCCTCTATCTCGTCCCCTGCTCTCTTCATAGTAAAGTCGCACCTTCTCTCGTTCCCGTCAACCACCTGTATCAGGCTAACAGGACCCGCACTTCAGATCGTACGCACATCACCCTCCATCTCGCTTCCATGCTCTTCCATAGCAGGAAACATGTCGTCATTGTCGTCTTCCCTGTCACCGGAGGGCCTAGGATCCAACCCAAACATCCTTCCTTGCACACCTTCCCTCAAGGAAACGCCATTGCTCATTGAAGCTTTCCCTGCAGTAGAGCATCAGCTGCCCTGCTGGCCCAGGACTTGGATTCAGTAATGCTCGATCGTTGGTGAAAATTTTACGATCCTCCCTCTATCCTGCTTGACTAAGATCCAAATTTGTCTCTAACGAGGGAAGGATCTTGGCCCATGCGATCAAGTCCAGCATCTGACTCTGTCCAAGCAGTTCTTTTCACTGAAAAACCACTTTTGGATGGTGCACCTGTTTCAATTGAAGACGGTTTCGAAGCTGCTCCTCTTTCTTGCGAAGCTGCTCCTTTTCTTTACGAAGTACGGCTTGTCTCCTCGGATCCTGTAGACCTAAACACATGATCTCTTCCCCGATCTGCTTGATCTCTTTGTCTACCCCTTTGATCTCTTTCTCTCCCCCCTTGCAGAGCTCGTTTGGAATCCTCCCCTCAAACATGTCGCAGACGACTAGCAAGCTACACATGGCAGGTCACTGGCACGTAGGAAGCAGCAAGGAACCTGATGGGGCCCAACTCGTCTCTTTCCATTGGTAGGTGATTTCTTCAGGATCATATTTTTATGTGTTCGGTTTTAGAGGGATCTACCAGAATTTATAGAACTTTATCTTCAACAATAAATATACTATAAAATATCGAGTAAAAGAGTGTCCCGCCGGCGTTTGCTCCATGCCGCCGTGACTGCAATCTTTTACTCAAAGTTAAGTAACTTACATAAACAATATTTTACTCAAAGTTAAGTAAAATATCATACGGCCCCCAGTTCCTCCCTCATCATAATTGGACGGCCTCCTGCACCAGGCGCCGATACAAGGAAGATATTCGGTAGGGGTAGTCAGCGACGGTTGTCGGGTGGGGGGGATGGGGGAGGTTCACTCTGGGCTTGTAGTCATTGAGATCATTATCTGGGAATAATGCAGGACTTGAAGAATATCATACCCTTGGTATGTATGGTAGTATTACTCAAGGTCCCTAAATTGAGTACGAGGGGGTAGTGTAGGGAGGTGTCTGGACTATATGATAGTAGTAGGCCAACGCGCGCCGTGCCCTGCCCGGCCCCGCCGGACCTCCGGGGATTTCACATTCAGGGGGTAGGGGTACTCAAGGACTGAATCTCCTTGGGGATAACAGGGGGTGATTTTGTGGAAGTGAGGAGGTGGGGATTAGAGGTACTGCAAGGTGGCGTTAGGGAAGGGACGCTGCTTTCGTGTCGTCTGTGCGTAGCAAAAGGTTTGAGCGGAAAATGAGGGAGGGGAAAGGATGGCGCTTTGAGATTAGAGACCCACTTAGTAAATCCTCCCTTCCTACCCCACCCCATATAAACTCTTGGGGTCTGCTAGAAACACACTAGAGAGAATCATGTAGTCACCTAACCGATGCGACTCTCCGGAAATGACCCCCTACCCTCTTTTATGGGAAAAGTACCGGTGCTGTTCCATTAGAAGAGTTTCGAAAAAACAAGTTTTCGATTGGAAAAGGTTGCAGATACACATAAAAAGATTGAAAAGACTTGGTTTCGTTTCTGATTACAGATTGCATGACAAGGAACAAACTGGTAGCTCAACCCCACCCCACCCTACCCCCATCCATCAGCACCCCACCCTGACATTGAGAACCCCCTCATATATTTGTATTGGATGAGAAAAGACAGACCACGGGTTCTTGCACCTGTCATTGGTTCAATTTTTGTACCCTTTTACCACTACCCCTACCCATCATCCTAGCCCACTCCCAATTGATTCTCCCGGACTACCCACTCTACTCTCTCGTCAGTAGTGTCTGGTCCTCACCCTACCCCCCGCTTTACTCGAGTCCTGATATACCTGAATCCCCCCATATAAAACCTTCACTGCCCTGACCGCTCGTCTATCCCCATCAAGCATGCATTTCGGAGGAAGCAAAGCTGTTCTCTCCCCGGTCCGTCTTCTCTTCGCAAGAGGATTCCCTGTCCGCCTCATCCAGTCCATCTCTCACCAGACAAGCCCCGTCGGCTCCCAGCCCGCCGAGTACGCTGCAGCAAACCGTGGAACAGAGACGCTGGATTACTCCCGAGAGATCTCTCACCCCAATGAGCTCATGGCCTTCCGAGTGGTCAACGCGCCTCTGATGAGCAAACAACCATGCAAAGATGACATCATCACCTGGGACGACCTCTTTCACAAAAATGACCTGTATTATAGACAGTAGCTTGGAATCGGACTCTTTGAAGGTCCTGGTTCCTGCAGCACCGACGAGCCATGGCCTGTTATGCCAAGGAGCTCTATGTATTCTAGGCTAGTAACCATTAACAAGTTCTTGTCTATCATGTCAATGAACTGAATGTATTTTATCCCTTTGTCTATCAGTTGGCAACACTCGTGGCAACACTCGGTGTTGCCTGCGCTCCGTGATGGTGCTGCGGAACTGGGTAGGAGGAAATGTCTGAGAGACACCACAACATTTTGTGCTTGACCTCAAACTCAATCACAATCATCATGAGCATCTCCAGAACGAGAGGTTTGCAGAAGGAGACAACTAACGAGTTAACATGATGGAGTACTCACGTTGTAGTGAGCGAGCCCATTGCTTCCGAGCTGCCTTCACGAGGATTCCTGCCCTACCAAGAGTTCTCGGACCCGACATGATACGAACCGATACAAGTCAACTGATTTTAGTTTACTATCTTTGTCGTTAAAACTACGATCATCATGGTCCGTTGAGAGCTGGCCAATGCCAACACAGGTGTAGGCCATACACGATACTTGTGGAAAGTGGAAATCACTCCAATGCATATTTCACTGCAAAAGAAATGTCAATGTCATTTGCATCGTTGTAACAAAGATCGCTTTACCGAATACGAGACTGTACACTAGGTGGTATTGTGCCAACAGGCAGTTACCAAATCTTCTTTTCTGTGCTGATGCTGATCTCAGGCTCGGGAAAGTTGTTGGTTTCCATGTAGAGATTCGAGTTGAGTCCCTTGCTCATGGACATCCAACTGACGTCTTTGTCTCTGCTCTCGCATCGCGCTCTCACCATCCTCGCCATGTCTGATCTGCTCTCCAGGCAGCTCTCAATCTCCTTTACCTTGTCTGAAACCAGCAGGTTCTGCAGGACCTTCTCCTTGGAGGTTCTTCGCTTGCTCAGTGTTCGGGTTGGTGGCTGCTGCCTGACAGTCAAGCAGCGCAGTGCTAACAAGCAAGCTCACAGCATGGATGGATACCAGAACGCAGGACAGCTTGGGAGAACTGAGCACAGCCCGATGGAAGTCATTCAAGCCCTTTGTTAGTGACATGCTTCAGCTGCTGCTACTTGAAGAATCAATCTCAATCCTTGAACCAACTTGTACCAGTCCCTACTGAGATTAGATAGCGATATCGCTCGTATGACTTGAAAGGCAGCAGAAAAGGCAATCAGTAGAATTTGCAACACGATTGCAATGTTGAGAGTACTTTCGATGTGACGAGTCTGGAATCGAATGTCAGAGGACAAACTGCGGTTTTGCTTTCGATAGGTACGGGATGGGACGGGGAGAAGGGACGTGAGGGAGTGAAGGAAACGAAAGGGAGGGAAGGGAAGGAGAGGCAAGAGAAGGGGAGACAATGGAGGGAAGGGGAGAAGGGAAGGAGCGAGAAGGGCAGGGAGGCAAGGCAATGCAAGGCAAGGAGGGGAGGGGAGGCACAGAGAGCTTGTGCTGCTGTCGCAAAGGAGGGGGGCGGAAGGGGGAATAGAGTAACAAGGGGTAGGGGTGAAGTCAAAAATTCACTTACGGGGTGGGTAGTCAAAAGTATTGTTACCTCAAGGGATCAAAAAATCACTAGAAAGTAGGGGTACTTGTGTGTTTTATCAAAGATATCATCAGGGTCATGGGTGGGGTATAATTGAAGATGGGGGTAGGGGTACAGAATTTTGGTACAGATGACCACAAGTTCGCTGGCCCGGGCCGCCGGGCCGGGTGCTCCGGGCCGCGGCCCGCCCACTCAAGTTAGCATGACAATTTCTTGCACCCTAGACCCCATGGTCTCAAGTTTTCTAAGTGGCTCTATAAGTAAAATCAGCTATCCTTCTATGTGGAGTCTTCCCGTTCCTACCACGCGCTCCAATGGCGGCGGCGGCGGCGGCGGCAAGAGGGCAGGTGAAGAGGAGAGGAGGAACGGAGAGATGATGAGGGGAGAGGAGGGAGGAGGGAGGATGGAAGGAGAGGGAGGGAGAAGAGGGCGAAGAGGAAGGGGGACACGGCGGCAGGAGTGGGAAGCAGAGGGTGGAGGGAGAGGAGAAGCAGGAGAAGACTGAAAGAGAGGATGCAGACAGAGAGAAAAGGTTTTTGAAATGAGGAGAGCCGTTGTTCGAGATGGAGAAAGATGAAGTGTTGGTTGTAGAACATGATGGAAAGGCGAGGCATGGAGAAGCTAGAGGACGAGCAAGACATTTGGGACCTCACACACAGAGTGAGGAAGGATGGAGTTGGGCCAGGAGATGGCAGCTAACTGGTTCATTGTGCAGGAGGCGCTTGAAAATTTTCTGGAAGGATGGCAGAACGCGCTGATCCACATGGCGACTCCTCATGCAAACCTGACCAGAGCAGCTGAGGAGCTCAAAGTCAGGCCCCCCCTCCTCCTCTCTTCCCCCCCCCCTCTCCTCCTTCTCTCCTCCTGAGTCCGTCAGGCTCATGGTGCCTCTTGTTCTTGACTTGAGTTGCAGGATCTTCGCCTTCACTTCAACCTTCACCTCAAGGAGCTCGAGTCACTTGCTGCTGCCGTAGACTCCGCTGATGGCCAGGTCGTCTCGTCGTCTCGTCGTCTCGTCCTCGTCCTCCTCTCCACCCCCTCGCCATCACCTACTCCTGCTGCTGCTGCTGCTGCTGCTGCTGCTGCTGCTGCTGCTGCTGCTGCTGCTGCTGCTGCTGCTGCTGCTGCTGCTGCTGCTGCTGCTGCTGCTGCTGCTGCTGCTGCTGCTGCTGCTGCTGCTGCTGCTGCTGCTGCTGCTGCTGCTGCTGCTGCTGCTGCTGCTGCTGCTGCTGCTGCTGCTGCTGCTGCTGCTGCTGCTGCTGCTGCTGCTCCTCCTCCTCCTCCTCCTCCTCCTGCTCCCCCCACCTCCCGCTCCTTCCTCCCGCTCCTCCTCACGTCCCCTCGTCTTCCTCCTTTTCTAACCTGCCTTCTTCTCACCGATCTCTCTCCTCTGACCTCAAACACCATGATCTTGCGATGGCTCTTCTTCGCTCATCCTTGTCTCTTCCTCTTCCCCCCCCCTTGCTGTGCTCTTCTCAGTGCCATGCAGGAAACGAGTGCAGCATCGGAAGAGCTGATCGGCAAACGAGATGCGTTGAAGGAGGAGGTCAGTGGACGGAAGGGGGGGGGCGGAGGAGGAAACGGGAAGGGAGGGGGAGGGGTGGACTCCTGTAAAGTTTGACCGCAATGCCAGTTGAAGGAGAAACAAGCGACGCTGAAGCAAGTCATCGACAAGCTCCGGCACCTCCAGAGCGACCTGACGGTTCTGACTTGCGCGACTGCCGTGCAGGAGTGAAGGAGTGGATGACGATGCAGCTGTATCATAGACGGGAGGGAATACCATGAACAAAGGGCAGAAGCAGCCGGGGAGCAGCAGGAAGAGAGATGGAGAGAGAGAGAGAGAGACAGTGAGGGAGAGAGAGGCGATGCTTCGTTGCTGGAAGAGGAGGGAGAGGGAGAGAGCAATGGAAAGCACACGAGGATGATACGAGATGTTGTGAGGTCAACAAGATACGATGACAAGGGAAAAAGTTTACTCTAAACTTCTGTACATCCACCATAGCGACGAGCACTACTTCCCGTCGCTTCCACCATCTGCCATTCAAGTCAGTGACATATCCACATCGCTCCTGTTGTCTCGCCAGCTCGAGCCCCAGCTGTATCATCTCGTCAGTGATCCCCTCCTCCCCAACCACCATTCTTACGTGTTGCCGCTTCTCCACTTGACATTGTTCGTTCCGTACTCCTCATCATCGCGCTGCTGCCTCCATCGTTGCTTGCGAGTATCGACCCTCCTAACGTAGCTCTCCCTTCTGACGCAAACCCGCCGAGCATGTTCATCGCAGTTCCCTGCTGCAGCCCCGCGAGGATGGGAGGCAGTTGCTGCTGCCCCTGCCACATGTCAGGCACTGTCCTCGGCGCTGCCATGTTGCCCAGCATGCTGCTTCCTCCCTGGTTTTGGAGAAGTTGCAGCTGAAGGAGGAGGGAGAGCTGGTCTTGCCGCTGCAGTTGCAAGTACTGCAGCTGTGCGATCTGCGCGCTTGTCTTGGCGATCTCGTTGAGCGCAATCTGCAGACTCTCCCGCTGCGAGTAGTTCTGCGAGCTGGAGTTGGAGCTGGAATCTGACACATCGGTGTTGTCTGCGGGGCAGGAGCCGCTGGTGGTGACCGGGGAGGTTTCCGACGTGCTGTTGGTCTTGCCGTCCGACATCTCCTGCCGTCCGACATCGTCGCTCGAGTTGTCGTCGTTGAGCGCGTCCATGGAGATCCGACTTGACTCGCTGCTCTGCGAACCCTCCCCCATGCTCGTCTTCTCCCCGTCCTCGATCTTGGACCTGAGCTCTTCGTTCAGCACTCGGATAGCCTTCTCCTCCATCTCGCACAGCTGCTTCCTCTTGGCGCCCTCCTTCCCTCTGCTGCTCTCCCCCTCCTGACTCGAGTTGCCCACGTTGTTCCCGCCCTTCTGAAAGTTCCTATGCCTCCTGGGCTTCGTGTCCTTGGACCCCGACGGCCTTCCAGGTTGTCGCCTCACGATCTGCTCGTCCTGCAGTCGCTCCTCCGGCGTCCACAACGATTTCGTTGCTTGTGTCCAGGTCCGCCTGTCCCAGATGTCTCGCACCGTCTTGGAGCTGATCCCGTATCGTCTTCCTACGAAGCAGCTCTCCACCGTTTTGTGCCCCAACCCCGAGATCTTCTCAGAGTAGATCTTGAAAGCCAGCTCAGCATTGAGGATGCGTTTCTTCCCCTGCAGCCTCTTCTGAGAGCCCTCCCCGTCCTGCTCCTGATCCGAACTGAAGACATCGGGCCGAGCGGCTGCCTGGGCCGAGGCCTCTCCCTGGTTGTCTGGGACAGACGTGTTTTGCTGCTCACTGCGATCAGTAGCACTCATCACTCAACAAAAACAATCTTTACAAACAAGGTACAACTCAAAGACACAGCGACCGAAGTTCGGCCTTACCCATCACCTCATACTAAGATCAGCCTTCTTTTTGTGTTCGGATTCCTTTGGGGTGTTCTGAGCCCAACAAACGCGACGAAGAACGATTTCTTCCTGTTTATCCCAGTTGATGTTGTGAAGAGAGCAAGCTTATGATAAATCGATTGCTCCACAGATAAATCTCATCGATTTCTTCCTGGAACAAACTTCAGTGAGGATGCGGAGAAAGGCTCATAGAATTAGTTCAAATAGTTTCGAGGTTGATAAGACATCAGGACAAGGCTAAGCGTCTGCGAGAGAGTCGCAGAGCAATACAAGGGAAGATTTAGTCTCGATGGATTGGAACATTCATATTAGAAAGCGATGGCTCTTCGAAGCCAAGAAGGAATTCCACAACACAGCACATATAACAAGAGGACATTATCATCGAGTGATTTGCCTCTGGTTGGGGAAGCAATGTTTATGCTCGAAAAGGCTACGAGTAAATCCTATCGACCCTATTCAATACCAATTGTTGCATCTTCTTCTTTTATCTCGTCTCCTTCTTCTCCTCCCCTCTCCTGTCCTCTCCCTTTTTCTTCATCTCTCATTGCTCGCCTCGCCTCTCCTCCCCCCCCCCTCCCCTCCCCTCCCCTCTCATTCGCTCGCTTCCCCTTCCCATCCCATCCCGTTGCTTCCCCTCCCTTACTCTCTTCTCTCCGTCTTTGTTCTGTCCTGCTCTGCCCTTGGCTCCTCCCCTTTCCGTCGTTCTTCTCCTCTCCTTCCTCGTCTAGCCATGCTCGCTGCTCTCTTCTCCCTTGAAACGCTGTAGTTTCCATCCGTACCCCATTTGAGCGATTCCAACCAATTTGTCCATCTAATATTGAATAATTCAGATGACCACTACAAATATTTGGTAATTTTGATCTTAAAACAGATGTAATCGGGGTACACTTCACCCTACCCCGTCGGATATGCACGCTAACACCTTGAAGTTCAAGTACCCCCCTTTTGAGCCTGTTTTTGATACTTAAGTACCGGTGTTACCACATACCACCCTTCTTCAGGTGCGGGACAATTTTTTGGGGTAGATTTCCTAGGACATCGATAGTCCCTGTTGTAACAGCTAGGTCATAGGAAATGCTATTCCCCCCAGAAAAACCTCTCTTTGAAAAAAGGGTCTTCCAGGGTAGGGTTGGGTGCAATGTCTCCCCAAATAGACCCACCCTTTTTACCATAGAAAATGGATCATGGGTGGGGTGAATTCATGACCCCGACCCCTTCAAGTGGAAGGGATAATTTATAGAACGCTGCTAAAACCTTCTTTTAAACGACTGGTTGAAACGTCAGAAGACCTGGTTTCAAAAAACCTCTATTGAAAAGAAGTGATTTAGAAGGGAATTCAAGAAAAAAAAGAATAAAAATAATCTCTGCAGGGCAGTGAAATGCATGTCTTATGACATCTCACTATTATTTGATGCTGCCCCAACGCCCCCGGGGTAATTTATATGACGCTCTCCACAGCTTGAAATCGAGTGGTTTAGCAGGGAATATCTTTTTTTTCTCAACATTCCAGTCTAAAACTAGAGAACTCCGAGGCAGACTCGTCTTTGGCCGTCGGAGCGGATCTTGCTAGCCAAAACGCGTGACCGTTAAGAACAAACAACGGCCAATCCTCGTTACAAATTGAAACCGTCATTGACCGTTAACACAACGGTCATAAGCATGTTTTACTCAAAGTTTTAAGTAAAAGTAGAGTGAGTACGATCACCGATCGGAACCTCACCGGGCCCGGGCCCGGGCCTGGGCCGGCCTGCCGACTCAGAGCCGAGGGGACTCAGTCAAGGCCTAAAGGTGAGGGAGCGAACAATCGAGGCAGGGAAAGGGAGGAGGAGGAGGCAGGAGGCAGGAGGCAGAAGGCAGGAGGCAGGAGGCAGGAGGAGGAGCAGGAGGCAGGAGGAGGAGCAGGAGGCAGGAGGAGGCAGGAGGCAGGAGGAGGAGGAGGAGCAGGAGCAGGAGCAGGAGGCCGGAGGAAGAGCAGGAGGCAGGAGGAGGCAGAGAAAGGGAGGAGGAGCATGAGGCAGGAGGCAGGAGACAGGAGCAGGAGGAAGAGCAGGATGCAGGATGCAGGAGGCAGGAGGCAGGAGGAGGAGGAGGAGGAGGAGAAGGAGGCAGGAGGCAAGAGGCAGGATGCAAGAGGCAGGAGGAAGAGCAGGATGCAGGAGGAAGAGCAAGGGGCAGGAGGAGGCAGAGCAGGAGGCAGGAGGCAGGAGGCAGGAGGAGGCAGGAGGCAGGAGGCAAGAGGCAGGAGGAAGAGCAGGATGCAGGAGGTAGGATGCAGGATGCAGGAGGCAGGAGGAGGCAGGAGGCAGGAGGCAGGAGGATGCAGGAGGCAGGAGGCAGGAGGAAGAGCAGGGGGCAGAAGGAAGAGCAAGGGGCAGGAAGAGGCAGAGAAAGGGAGGCAGAGGCAGGAGGCAGGAGGCAGGAGGCAGGAGGCAGGAGGCAGGAGCAGGAGCAGGGGGCAGGGGGCAGGAGGCAGGGAGTTTGAAGAGGACCATAGAAAGAGAGAGAAAGATGAGGGATTGGGCGAAGGGATAAACCTTTAAAGAGGTGGGAAGGAGGGGAATGGAGGAGATAGAGAGGGTATGTGAAGCAGAAGAGGGAGAGGGAGAGGCGAGGAGGGTAGATGAGGACTATCAAGTGAGAAATTCTGATGAGAGGTATAGGAGGGGAGTATCAGGGTCTTGAAAGATCAAGATAATTGATGGTTGACGATTGAACTCAGGTCGGCGCAAACCTGGTCGAGCATCGACAGGATGGAGGAAAGGAAGTTGATGGAGAGAAGCTGGTGAGATTGTTCATTGCGCGTGAGGACCGCCTGGTTGTCTCAGTGGAGACGGAGGAGTCAGCCCTTGAGAGCTGTTGCTGCCAATCTCTGTTACCGGCATGGCACCAACACTGAGGCAGCTTGCTGTTTGCTTCGCACTGCTCCTTAACTTGCCTTCCATCCTGTGCTTCTCTCCCTCGCCTGCTTTTGCGCGAGCATGGAGCATCCGAGGTGCAAGGAAGAGCATGGGTAGGCCTCATGCCAGACTGGGAGGAGGAGTCAAGCTGCGGATGGCGATGCAGGAAGCTGAGGAAGGAGGAGCAGGAGGAAGAGGAGGAGGAGGTCAGAGCACGAGCGTGATGCTGACCCGGGAGTGGTTCGCCTCCTCTAACGTCATGGGGGATCTGCTCACAGACGACGGCATCCCTGTGGCGCAGCTCAGCCAGACGAGTCGCTTCAACTGGTGGAACGAGCTGCTGACTCTATGGGGCAGTCGCGTGCTGGAGCGCATCACGAACCGGATGGCCTTCACCATCGCCTGCTCCATCGCCGTGACCACCTTCATCAACCTCGGCGACATGCCCAGCAGCGGCTTCACCTACGTCACCGAGTTCGAGATCCCCGGGTGGCCCCACGAGCTCATCGGCGGTTTCCTCTCTATCCTCCTTGTCTTCCGCACGGACCAGGCGTACGACAGGTTCTGGGAGGGCAGGAGGAAGTGGGCCGAGCTGTCCTCCACCTGCCGTGACATGGGCCGCATCGCCATCTCGAACCTCGACAGGCGGACGGCAGCTGAGCTGCTTGCCAGCATCGCCGTCTTCCCCGTGACCCTCAAGCAGCACCTGCGGGGCACGAGCAACAGCCGGGAGATTGCGACCGTGATCAACACGTACCTCCCTGCCAACAGCTCCCTCATCGACATCGTCGCCTCCTCCCGCACGATGCCTGTCACTGTCCTCCTCAGCATGTCAAACTGCATCTCCAAGTTGCGCCTTGCGCCCCGGCACGAGCACCTGGAGATCGTCTGGCAGCTGCTGGAGCAGCGGGTGGACAAGCTCGCATCGATCGTGAGCGACTGCGAGAAAATCAAGTGTACTCCCCTCCCCTCTCCTACTCCCGCTACGCCAGCCGCTTCTTCTCCATCTACACCCTCACCCTCCCCTTCGCGCTGGTCAAGGACACGAGCCCCGTGCTCGTCCCCTTCATCACAGCCTTCGTCAGCTGGGTCCTGTTTGTCACCGACGAGATCGGTCACGTCATCGAAGAACCGTTCGGCAACGGACTCGCCAAGGACCCGGACACCATCTCGGGCAAGGGACAGGTGCGCCCTCCGTCCTTGCTCCTCTTCCTCCTCCTCCTCCTCTCTCTCTCTCTCTC